TGTTCTTCAACCATCTGTTCTTTACAAGACAGATCAGACAGTTTGGAGATATGACCCATTGCTACAAGCACAAACAGTCGTGGCATACATGTCCATGTATGTCCATATATGTCCTATGGGACCAAGAGGAACACCAAACGTCACTCTTAATAAGCTAATTAATTAGTGAGCATTAGTTACCACTGATTCAGACTCATGTTTAGCTCAGATCTTTCTGGAGATTTGCTTTGCGTCCGCCTGCTTGTGCATGCAAACGTTTGTAATGGCTGTCTTAGTTCTCAACGTGCTCATCTGACAGCAATTAGACAGGAAACCATAGGAGCCCGGATTCAGAGGTTGCAACATGATGGTAAATTGCAGATGAACATTAACTGCACTTATCTCTTGAGCGAAACACGCGCTGCACGACTCACCCTGCGATTATCGTGCTCTACATACGGTTCTGTTTCATACAGCATCCACCAGAATTAAGCTATGTCTTGTTGATTCGATGATTAATTCATGTTCATATCCACCGTCAGTTGTCGACGTGCGTCTTTGGAGAACCCTGAAAAGCTGCGTGGAGCTCCAGTTGAGTCAGAAACCGAAGGAGATGTTTTAGTGCGGTGGTGCCAACTGAAATGCTTAGGGCTTGGCAACATTGAACACTTAAAAAAATGCAGGGCTGATTACTTGGCCGAGATACAAGGATGCAGATTTCTCTTATCTTCACTCTGACTGATGTGATGCATCATAGGGCATCATAGGGCAGAGTGTTTTGTAAGTTGAATGGCTTACAGAAACGTACTTAGGCAGACATCCCATAATGCATTTCCTACATCAAGCGAAATGATTCACTGCGGTTCAGGTGCCCAAATTTATCTTGACTTCAACTTTCAGGGTCCTGTATGGTAAAGTGCCATTCTGTTTTAGTGAATTATTAATACCTCTGGTTTAATTAATCTTTTTTAATTCAATTTTTATAAAACAAATCGATGCATCCTGAAACCTGAAGCTGGGAATTGAACTGGGAAAGTGGAAAAAAATCGTAATCTACTTGTAATCCCAAGGACTGGGTATAAAACTCAAGCTTTCTTTGTTTGGACATTGTCTGAAGAGTCTGGACTCGTTCAAAATGCCATGGAGGACAATGTTGTTCAAATGCACTTTTCCTTGAGTCCCACTGAAGTAATATTAGCATTATATATCGAAGTCGTTACGTCAACGTAGCTTTGCTCTCTGAAGAGGCGAATCCGAAGTTCAACCTCATGAGATGACAAAGACAGCGTAAATTCTAGCATCCAAGTAAACCGGGGGAAGTTGGAGGTTTGGGGGTGAGGAGGGCAACAACAGTGACGACAACAAAATCATAAAAATGTATATTTTTATGGCTCTGGTGTGTGTGTGTGTGTGTGTGTGTGTGTGTGTGTGTGTGGGGTGTGTGTGTGTGTGTGTGTGTGTGTGTGTGTGTGTGTGTGTGTGTGTGTGTGTGTGTGTGTGTGTGTGTGTGTGTGTGTGTGTGTGTGTGTGTGTGTGCATCTCAGTTAAGGTGATGAGAAGGGTAAAACTGGAAAGACACTTGGCCCTCAGGAGTAACACGGGGCAGGCAGCGCTGACCACTGACTTTCGCACGATAGAGAGGGCTGCCTGAGGCAAAGAACCGCAGGCGCCCCTTCCAATCCAGACTAAGCCTGGAGTGAGGTCAGCCCGGCGGCTGGGATTCCGGACAAGCATTCTTTCACCGACTGGAGCTTATTTTCATGCCAGCTCATGAATGATGTCATGACCAATGTGTGCAATCTTAAACTTTAATTTGGACAAAACAGGATCAATGAAGTTTAGTACAAAGTGATTCATTTAAAGCGACTGATACAATTCGAGTGTCACCTGCAAGCCTCAGTTTTACTTTGATACATTTTTGTTTTGTTTTTTCTAATATAGTAAAATTTTTCCTAGTCATTTAGAGCATAGCGGATTTTATCAAAGTGTGCAATGTTTTTTCTCTTTCTGTTTTTAAGAACAAATACATAAAAACTATGCAATATTCAGTTTGATCACCAGGTTTTTGCTCTATGTTGAATGTTAATTTATTATTAAACAAACTGAGGTAATTTATTTAACTATGAAAGGCAGATCTTACAGGAAATAGGAACTTTACAACTCCGTCTGTAACGTCATACATTTAAACACTCTTAACCTTCATTATTTTCCCCCTCTTTTTCCACATACTGCTACAGAATTAAAGCAACATTTATTTATGATCATGCTGTAGTTTAACAAATTCCTGCTGTTATATCATGAGATCAGACATCTTGATCAAGAGATCATGACATATGCGTGGAGCTCATATTTCAGGTGAGTACCGATTATTTGTTATGTACATATTATTGAGAAGTCCACTTATTTCAGGAACTTTGTCACAAACTGAAATACATTATGTAGATTAATTACACAGAGATGGATGTTTGAAAGCAACTAATTTCTGTTAACTATAACTTTCCACTTACAGCTAACAAAAGCATGATATTATAACTTAAGGCATCACATCAGACCTGTTGCCTTTGTGAAAAATAAGTCTAAAAAAACACCTGCTTGAAGGTTGTCAATTTTCAAAAGGTACTTTTTAATCTGACAAATGAGCCTCACTGGGAAGCATATGCTAACTTCTTAAATATGACGTTTTTCGTGATGGACTGGCGGAATAAATTAAAAAAATCACTGTAAAAATAAATCGTTGAGTAGAGGTTGAACAAACTGCTTGTCTCTGTTTGGGATGTCGTGAAGGGATGCAGCGGACTGCAGAACCATCCGTCAGCTCCTGGTGACATAACTCTGACGCTGTTGTCTGTCGTCACGCCAGAATGTCAGGCCTCTTGAAAAACAAGTTCGCACAGAGAGTGTGGAGAACAGATAACAAAGCCGTGTGTGTTTGTGGTCGACGATTGAGATCATCGTCCCAACAAGAAATTCTTCTACGTTTTTAGTTACAAACCATAGACATTAACTTGGATCATCCACTGTTACGCAAAATTTGCAAGGTCTTATTTTACTTTAAATTGTTTTCAAGAGACTACAAACAAAGGTGATTAAGAGATTACTTTTTTTTTGTGAGAACTTCATCAGGAACGCATAGCTGAAGGAAATCACCTTTCGAATCCCTAGAAATAACTATTTGACAGTCGATCAAAATATCAATCACTTTAGAAAAAAAAAAAGATCAGAAATAAAAGCTAACGGCCATTCACTGCATTTATGAGAATGACAATTTGAGGCTGCTGCCCGTGGGAGTAGCTTAGCAACCGTGAAGGAAGAATGCCTTAAGAAACAGGAAAAATGCTTAGATTGCTTTGACAGAAGCAGAATGTGACTGGAATGGCTTCAAACTCTGAACAAGACTCTGATAGAGTTGTCATTGGAAACAAGTGGCTGCGTGAGCAAAAACGCACACAAACTCACATCCAACTGCTGCTGTTCAAGGATTTGAGGGAGGGAAAACTCTCACTGGCTTTCACTTCTGGTTCGCGTCACCCTGATTGTTTCGCTGCCCTGCTCGATCCTCAAAGCTTTACTGCTGCAGTTTTAGGCAAACAGTGGGAAATTGAGCCAGAAAAATCAGAGCAAACTAAACCTGCCATTAGGTTTAGAAGCAGTTGTAGAGTGTACTCGTGTAAAGCTTAAGCAATGCATATTTTTTATGTTTCTGCACTGCTTCATAGTATAATAGATGGAGGTTGATGTCAGACTGTATCTGTTTGGCATATTTACAATGAAAACACACTGCATAGATATGCAGTAATACAAAATGCACGTTATGTACATACAAAAAGTACATTACTACTCACACATCCCTTGGTGAACATCATTTTTGTTACAATCATGTACGGTATATTATTGTTAATTATATTTATTTTTTTATATATTTTTTATATGTTTTTTATATGAACCTACTGAATTTGCTCAGTGTGGGACAATGAAAAACATTTCAATTCAGTCCACTGTCAATTGTATCGACTCTTTCTTTTCTATTAAAAGAGTAATTTCTTGTGACAAATTAATTCAGCTTCAGCTTCACTGTCATCTATAGTATTGTGAATCAAACACGCCAACAGTCACAATAACAGGAAGCATTTTGTAAGCTGTCAAATCCTGACATATGATCCCTGCACAGATCACATTTTAGAGAATAAGGCGTGGCTTAGTTTTTGGTGAAAACAGTGTTATGTTACTGATAAAGGGAGGATTCATTGACAAAGTTTTCTTTGGTGTGTTTGAGACTGCATGATGTGGGTGTTATGAGGGGAGGTGTAAAACAGTTGATGTGGAAGAGGCCCTCAATGGAAAGAGCTCAGGAGACCCTGCTTTAATGCATGAAGTAATGTACTTCTCATCATGTAGCAGGTGCTGAAACATGAAGTCGAGTCCCATTCGGATCAGAATTTGCATGGTGACATGCAAAGTAGGCATGGCAGACATTTCCTTTCCTGGGGGACTCACAATATGCCAGTTCTTTTGCTGTACGACTTGGGTTCAAGTTTATTTTTCATCGTGCTAATTCGATGGAAATGCGTTGAATAAAAGACATATTAATGCACATTATATTAGCATTTGATGCAGTTAACAGAGGCTTGGATATTGACTCAGTTGCCAACAGTTTTTGAACATCTTTCTCATAGATGCTGCAGATGTTCAACTTTATCTTTTTTGACCAAAGTCGGAGTTTTGGGTTTTACTGTTTGAGAAATATGAAGACTATATGTACTTGATATATCTAACCATATGAGTTTATGAATTTCTTTATTTTTTATAAGTTTAACCAAAGAAAAATATCAGAAAATGTAATTTTGACCGTGTAATTAAATAGTGTCACATTCGAAGTCAACAAAAGTCCTATGAGACATGATGTGGTTACTAACTTTTGTTTTACCTGATACATTTATTTGCATAATTACAGGAAGAAAAAAAAACCAGAAAAGTTTTCATTTGAACTCAAACATGTCACATGTAATACTACCAGCAGCAGGTTATTCTTTAGACCATCTTGGGTAAGTTTAACATTGGTTGTTAATAGTTACGGAGCTAAAACACTTCATTATCTCTTGTCTTTTATTTGCAAAAGACCTTTTTGTGTGTTTTTTTACAGGAAGAAAAAACAATTTGTGCGTGTCAGTAAATTCTTATATCTCTAGTTCATTATTGAGAATAGACAATCAAAATGCACAGAGAGTGTATTTGATTTATATATTTATTTTATTTTTAAAAAGGCATCTTTTGTGGCTGCCAAACGCTTGCCGGCTTTGGTCCTCGTTGGGAAAAGTGTGAACAAAACTGATTTAATGATTTAAGCTCATTTTAAAAAAAACAAAAACACACACACACACTGATAAAATCAAATCTTAGACTTTCTTTTCTTTTCTGTTTTTTTTTTACTTTCATTTTCGATTTTGGAGAGCGTTCTAGTCCTGCTGCTTCCGCCTGTTCATTCAGCTCCCAAAGTTGAGCACATTTCCTCCGAGAGGACAGGCGAGGTGAGTAAGAGCTTATCGCTTTCTAATAAATACCCAAGTTTGTTTGACAGGGGAGCAACCGACGCACACGTCCCTTCAATCACTAACTAACTAACGAACTAACTAAATAACTAGTTGCTCTCTCTGGTTACGTTTCTCCTCTTAATCTTCTCTAAGAGTTCGTTTTCGAGGTTCATAATGGCAAACGAAGAGAAAGGAGTTCCCACAGAGAAGCAGCAGAGCCCGCTCAGCTCCTCCTGCTCCAGCGGACCGGCGGACTCCCAGGAGGCCGCCTATCAGGCTGAGGTCGCCGGGGAGCAGAAGACGGATCTCGGTGCGGCTCGCCCCCAGCTCGCTGACCTCCCCGCGGATTCCTTCCTGCAGCACTTCAAGACGAGGAAGTTCTTTGTGTTGAGGGTAATTGGCTCCATTTCCACCTCGCAATGCTTTACTCTTCTTCTTTGTTTTGCTTCTTGGACGTATCGGTGGGTGTAAATGGTTTGAAACCGCCTCTCGTTGTCTCATGCAAGTTCATCAATGACCAAAATACCGGAAATGCAGAATAAGATTGAGCTGATCAGCCTGTTGAACTAAAGTAAATGTACAACATGAGTCAGTCAATCAGAAAAAGGGGCCCGAATTCAGCTTCCATGAGGTTCTGAACTACTCTCTCCTCTCTTCTAGGAAAATACATTTTTGAAATATTATTACATCTAAAATAAGTTTAATGTCAGCAACAATGGAACATTGATAAATATAAAAAGAACAATGACACAAAAAAGTCTTTTAACTTATTAAAATGTAATAGGTGGAATATTTTTCAAATATAATTCTGAGTTCATTATCCAAAATAATCTAAATGTTTCTTTAAATAATATGTTAAATCTGCTTGAGTGTTCCTCAGTGCAAATCCTTAGCTTAAAGGCCTATACTGTATGGATGAATGTACTGTCTTTGAGCCAGGCTGGAGCGTGTTTTGTTGGGATTTTATTTGATGGACCAACACAGAACCTGGTCAGATTTGATGTAAAGATGCCCAGGTTCTGGTCATCCTCCTTTCTGGAGGAAGACTGCTTGACTGCAGCAAATTATTTGATGGCAGTATGGAGGACGATAATGATGGCCTGCGAATCGAGTGATGTAGTTTTATTTAAAGTATATTCTGCAGCCATGCTTAGTCAGAGTATCCAGCAGGGCACTGAACACACATCCCTGTGGGATACCAGTTTGGGATGAGGGCTTTTTAAAAATATATTTTTTAATTTATTTTCTGGCGTATCGAGATAGATGTATTTCGCTAAAGTGCAGTGAAAACACATTTTTTTATATTATATGTGATAAATAGCTGGGTGGTACCATTAGCGCAGACCATGAAGGAGACAACAGGAAGTGGCAAGACAATAGTTTTTTAGTTTTTATTAAAAAAAATTTCAGCCAGTATGCATCTGGCTCCATCACATTGCATAAAAAGTTGTGTGAAATCGGCAATTACAGTTTCCCAAAAATGTCGCATACTTAGCAGCTCACAAGCATAAGAGGCATGTTGCGCCAACGTCTGGATAAAACGCCAGCATCTCCTCTGATTGGCTATATTGTAAATATATCTCATGTAACCGTTTACATCCATCGCCGCCATGATTTTGAATGATTCATCTTAGTCATGTTTGATTTTAATTTTATTTCTTATTCCATAGAAAGACTGAAATTGCAAAATAGTGTTTCCTCAACATCAGCAGAATATTGACAAAGATTTGCGCACATTTTTAGCAAAAATGCAGCTGCTGGATAAAACACGTGTAATAGATGAACAAACCTCAGCCTGGTGGAGTTGCGAGTAAAGCCTGGTGGCCCGCCAGGCTTATGATGCACCCCGCCAAATTGTCTGTGAATAACAACTGCAGTATCAGATCAATCAAACAAGCCCAGTACTTTGGGAAGAGTTAATGCTCTGTGTTGAGTACAGATGACCTCCTCCCTCTCCTCTCATTTTCATGATTAGTGTACAGCCAAGGACCATCCGTCAGAAATGGTAATCTTCAAGGCTGTGTAGACGGATTCATGACCCTGTGTTGAGGAATGCTCTTTCACTGAGATTGATACGCCGCTCTAAATCCTCCTGGATCTGTCCTTGTCATTAAACTATTCCGTCTCTAATGCACACACGCTCTTCTGAGTCCGTTTCATCCACGCTGTTCTTCTTTTTCTTTTCTTTTTTTTTTTTTTGCGAGCGCATCTCAGAAGCAAATGTTTGATGCAGGCCTGTTGTGTTGGGTTAGCACTGGGAAAGCATCCCAGGCTGCCAGGCCAACTCTGCAGTCAGCCCCAGCCAAAGATTACAGTAAGACTGTCAGGAGTCCTCAGTGTGAACTCCTAATCGTTTTAAGTTCTCCAGCTGGGAGTTAAAATAATGAAACAAAGTGAAAGGATAGAAAAAGAAAAAGCCAGTGTCTGACAGTTTGGAGGGTAGAGTGCAGAATTGCGTACAGGAGCTTTCCCGAGCGTCGTCAGATGTCTGTGTTACTCAGATTTTGGTCATGTTCAGCTTCCCCCTTTTTGTTTTTTTTTTACAGTCATTCTCAAACACCTACACTTCACATCTTTGTTTACCGTGGTACTACCCCCCCACCCCCACATACACACACACCACCTCCCTTGTTGTTCTGGTTGTTGTCTTTGACGCAGAGCCGCGCTGACATTTCCCTCAGTCCCCCCGCCGCACATCAGCCTCAAAGATAACCCTTAAAGCCTCACTTTGCCACAGCGGAACATTAGAAAGTGACACCCGGGCTTGTTTTCTTGTCTCCTCAGCCCGGCACTCTCAATCAGGCCGTCAAAGACATCGAAGCTCTGGTGAACAAGGAGGAAGATGGCAGCATTCACGGCACCTGGCTGATGGCAGAGTGAGTTCACTAGGCTGCGCGTGTGTGCGTGAGTGTGTGTGTGTGTGTGTATGCGTGTGCATGTGTGTGTGCGTCCTGTCAGCATGTGGGGAATGTGATGTAACTTCTGATGTGATTGTAGATGAATAGGGACCTGATCATGCTGATGGTCTCTAAAAATTGAAGTACACATTTATTTTAATGTGCTTTTTACTGTGACACAGAGTGTCCATGAATAAATGCTACAATCAATCCTTCAAAGGATTTGATTTATGAATGGGTGGAATTATGTATATTTTATGCTCGTCTGACCTTTTACTGTATTTAAATGATTGCAATTATAATGTGATGCTGTGAATAATTCAACATGGTGTATGTCTGGATCAGGAGTGAATATTTAGCTGTTTTGGTTCTACTTTTGTTTTCAAATCAATAACTAAGGATGTCTGTCATCAAGAAAATTGTGAACTAGGCCTGGGAGATGAATTGATCTGATCAATTAATCACGTTTTTTTTTTAAACACACACACACACACACACACATATATATATATATTATATTATTTTTTTTTTTTCCCCCCACAAGTATGCACTACTTGGGTTACAGTAATTTTTAGTACACCATCTTATTTTAAACACAAGATGTTTAACCTCAGATCCAAGTCAACGGGCAGAAGGTACCAACGAAATAAACGCTAAGTTTTTAAAAATATTTTGTGCCATTTGTAATTTCTTTTTAGGAAGAGAAAGGGAGAGTGAAAAAAAATCAAGATTTTTATCACCCAGCCCTGGTGGGAACATCACAGATGGTACAGATGGTATAAGTAGTTGGCTGGTACTGATGTGTTAAAAATAAATAAATAAATAAATAAATTCAAGCAAAATCTTACACTGAAAATTTGAGAAATTCTTAAAAGAAATATTTGTGCTACATTTACTGCTCATTGCCTCTTACCAATATAAAATTTATACTATCTCTAAGTTTTGGCAGTGAGATTATGTGTGAGATATATTTCTAAACATAGTTTACAACAATTTGTCCAAGTTCAGGTTGAAAGCTCCAACATGTTGGAATATTGAAAATTAAAAAAAGGAATTAAAATAGTGAACATGGTTAATGTCAAAAAAATTAATACAAATAAATAGAGAAACTTGGAAGTTTGGATCCAATAAAGGTGAAAATCCGAAAAAGAAATGCTGCATTACAATGATACAACCTGAGTCTGTTTAATCTCTGGTAACGTTAAAAGACATTTAACATCGATAAATGCTCTTAGTTCAGCGCAAATTCACAACATGTAATTTTAAGTGTATTTAGCAGTAAAAAAATGAACATTTACAGCTACAATAAAATTGTTTACATGAAGCAGACTGTTAGACTGGCCCAGTCAAAGTCCAGACATGCATCTAATTAAGAATCTGTGTCAAGTCTTAAGATTACTGATCACAGATACTCTGACATGTTTTCCAAAGCATGATGGGAAAAGTTTCATTTCGACTTGTGCAAAGATGGTAGGAAAATCCACACCGCCCTTTTGTTTGGTTCTTGTAAAATCTGACAGAAACCACATCTCTTCTCTTTCACTTCGCCATTGCGCTCTACTTTCTGTGGCCTTCTTCATGAAATCTGATTTGAAATACAGTTTTGTGAAGTAAAAACAAAAAGTGAAAACTGCTCCAGGGGTGTGAATCCTTTTGTGAAATGCTGTAAATTTTGTGTCTTGTCCATGGAGTGAAAATGCTCTTCCCTGATGTTTCTCCTAATAAGGAAGAAAAGACAAAACAAAGAGCCTGCAGGTTGCTGCGTAGAAGGTCTTTCTCTCACCTCCCGATCTCTTCTTGTTGACCGCTGCTGTACCGTTCTGCCGCCCACACTCCGTTCCTGATTTTCTGCAACACCACAATCCACAATGCGCACACCTAGTCAAGGTTAAGTCATTTGATTATTAGAGTCAAACCTCTTCACCCACACCTATCCCATGATGCCTTGGCTGTGCAGTGAACTATCTTCTTTGGCTCCTGGCTGCCAGCTACAATCATGAGTGGTTCACTGGGAGAGGGCCACGCACACTCGGCTCAGCGGGCCGTAAGAAAGGGAGCCACTCTGAGAGGAGCCATGCCACCACGAATTAGCACGGCTCTAAGGAAGAGTGTGTGTGTGTGTGTGTGTGTGTGTGTGTGTGTGTGTGTGTGTGTGTGTGTGTGTGTGTGTGTGTGTGTGTGTGTGTGTGTTTAAGAGAAGAAGATGAGGGTGTGGGGGGAAACGAGACTTTTTAGTAATTTTAATTACGGCAGGAGATTTTCTGGGCACTGATAATGTGCTTCTGCTAAACTGACGGTACCTTTTTTTTTTTTTTTTTGTAAAATTTTCAGGGATTTTGAAAAGCCAGCATGCATATTGTATGATGTTTGCCAAGGGCACTTTTAGAAATTGTGAAAGTTTTACAGTACATAATTGAAGAGATTTGCAAAACATGTTTTTGTGTCTGAGAACTCAAAATAACCTCTTGGTGATTTTTTTTTTCTTTTTTTCTCTTACATCTGAACTGACAGAATAAAATTGCATTTTGACAAGCGATTAGTAACCAGCTTTGAATGTTCTTATCCTTTTCTCAATCACAATGTTGTAGAGCTACCTTTCTTTCTTCTGTGATCTAAAACAAATTTCATCAACATGTTATAAAGACTATATATACATATATATTTTATTTTATTTATTTTTTTCTGTGTTGGGTTTTCCAGTTAATGTTGGATTAATCTGATAAAATGCTGTCCAAACTCAAACAGTTTCTTTAGTTCTGTCCAGACAGGACTCTGACGGAGACGACTCCTTTTAGCAACATTAGTGGCTAAATATCAGCTGGTCGCATTGGTTTTTATTTTGTCTCCAAAAGAACAAAATGCTGCAACACAAATGATTTAAAAGGCTTACAAGACAACAAATGATAGCTACAATGTTCAGAACTATTGTGACATGTAGTTCTGTCACGATAACAAAGTTTGTCCCAGTAATTATTGCGATAAACGATAATGTTGTTCTTTGGAGACCATTTATAAGTACTTATATTTATAATGAATAATAATGCAAGTTTGCCCTTTCAAAGACTGATGAAATTTAATTTTGTAAAGAAAACTTAACACTGCAACTGGAAAATATTGTAAATATCAAAAGTAAAACAAGATTTTGAGATTTTTTTTTTTTTTTTACTTTATAATGTCACTAAATGATTAATTGCTTATTGTGACTGGTTTAGTGACAGATTGATATCATGAGCTCTTGCTTTATCCCCAGTAGCTGCCAAGCTGATACGACTTCATCTCAGGAAGCCTAAAGTTTGTCCTACACGTCTTGGCCTTTCCCTTCCCCTCGTACTGATGATGTCTCACCGTGTGGCTGCTTCAGGGTTGATCACTGGAACAACGAGAAGGAGCGCCTTGTTGTCATCACCGACAACACGCTTCTGATCTTCAAGTATGACTTCGTCCTGCTCGGCTGCGAGCAGATCCAGAAGATCCAGCTCAACTACATAGACCGCATCGCTCACGGTTCCTTCAGCTTCCCAAAGGGCTCGCTGCTCAAGTAAGTCCCTCCACTTCTCAAGCTGCATAATTCATGCATAGAGTGCATAAATTATTCCCCCCCCCCCTACCGGGCTTTTTTGTTGCACTGACATGTTTCAAATCTTTATAAGTTTTAGTATCAAAGACAACTGGAATAAATGGACAAAAGTGTTTTCAAATGACGTTTTTTGAGGGAAAAGGTATCCAAAGCAACTTGTCATATCTGTCAAGTTTTGGATTTGAGAATATGGAAAACTTTTAGCAGGTTGCCGACACCATTAGGGCAGAGGAGGGATGGACAGAGAGGTGGTTAGTGTACAGTCTGACCTCCTTCCCACCCCCACATTACTCGCGGTTACGCGTGCAGCCGGTGGATTTATGTCAAAACAATCCCCAAAATGCCTTCTATCCCTGTGACAGGACTAATGTTGGCTACACATAGGTGACTTTAGATTTAGTTTCTGAGTTGACCAGTCAGAAATATTCCAGAAGGAATACAGGCATGTCAAAAATGAGCTCAAGTCGCTCTCTGGATATTATTGGCTCGGGAAAAGCCATTTCATAACATTACTGGTCGAATGCGGTGTCAGTAACAAGGCTGCCCTATAAAAGCGTCATAATGGACACCGGCAGAGATTAAAGAGGAGAAAGAGGCAGAGAATTCAGACATCCTAGATTTCATGGATGGGATACCACTAGTTAAGGGATTAACTAGAATCAAACAGGTGTGAATTGACAATTGTGAGTTGATGCTAAATAAGTGAACTGAAAACTAAATTATTGAAGACCGTCATGTTCCACCATGCTGGATCTTCTTTTTCTGAAATGCTGTGGCTTTCTGAAGGACCCACATTTGTCTTGTCAGTGCCTAAAGACCTGGGGTTAATAAACACATTTCTTTCTTTCTTTCTTTTATTTTTTTTTTTTTTGGCAAAATGTGAGATGGATCTCTGTTAATTTTGGTCAGCAGTGATTTTCAGCTTTAAGCTCTCCTGCAGATGTACTTTTTTGTGTAATTTTTATCTAACCTTGGAATATTGATCTGTTGTTAGAAGTCAAGTCCAGGTTGCTGGTTGACGTTGCTGCTTAAATTTTCCTCTTTTCAGGGAGTTGGTTGGCAATTTAGAAGCTTTAAAAACCCTCAGCGAGGAGGATTACAAATATTAACCCTAATTATATGAGCTCTGCGCTCTAATTAGTTTCACAAAAGCTAAAATTCCCTGTGAGAAAATGTCCTTGTTCCTCGTGATTAACCGGTGTTCTTTGCAGCAAAACCATGCTTGCTCAGTTTTTTTTTGACCTACTTATTCCAGTTTTTAATTTTTAATATATTTCTTTAATCTTGTATCAGACAGAGTCCATTTAAAATAAATATCTAAGGATGCAATGAAAAGTGTAACACGGCGCAGGGAGCTCACGGGGACAACAGGGAACAGAAACCCGCTTCGCAGGAGGATGAAAAAAGGGCGAATTGTGCCTTTTTCTCGGGTGAGGCGCATCGCTGTCATTCGGAGCTGTCACTTAGCTGATTAGTGGCAAAATTAATGTCCTTCTTTCATGTAAACCTTTTAAAGACGGGCCCAGGGGACACCGAACCAACTAAAACTAATTTGATGAATAAAACGTAATGTGCCGCGACGAGCTTAGAGAGCGCGGCCTTTTATTGGAGGGTTTATCTCGGCACGTTGCGCTGAATTATACATAAAGCGCCTGTGAAAGCCAACCGGGAGTCCGGCTGTAAAGACACAGTTTTCAAATAGCAAAGACTTGAGCCTCAAACATTCCCTCTGTCTGTCTGTTTTCTCTTTTAGCTCCTTTTCCTTCTCAGATTTCTCCCTCTGTCCCACAGGAAGTGTGTCCTTTCTTGTCTTGGTTGTGGATCTGCAATCGCGTTCATGTATATATGAAAAGCAAAGTCTTGCTGCTGCTTGAACCTTCCACAGAACTTTCTGTTTTATGAGAACAGATGTTAGGCGGGGAAATGAAAAGTCAGCTCAGGAAATAATATGTTAAAATGGATATATCATGCTTTTAAATCCTTCTCTTTCACATGTAAATCATTTACTTATGGTCCATATAAAGTCTGAATTTCTCATTACTGTAGCTCTACAAACTCCTAGTTTACCCCGTTGGACCATTTTTGTAGTTTGAAAGCAAATATCTACCGGCAGAGAAACTTTTTCTTCCAAAGTTTATTAAAGATGTCAGCAGCAGAAAACTTGTCCATCCAACCTCACATGTTGGAGCCAGAGTCTGACCCATGGCAGGAGAAGGAAGATGGCCAACCTGCAGAACCACGCTTTGACCTCAGTGATGTTGATTCTGTTTTTACACCCTCGCCAAATGCCTACAATATGGAGCTTTCTGCTTTGCTGTGTCCCTTGCTTCCTAAAAGAGAAGGAAGTGAAAAATATAACCCAAAAAAGAATATAAAGGTAAATATGCAGCACTGGGAGAAAATACTCTTAGCATGTGTTTGTATTTAAAATACACAAAATATGTTCCCTTTAGCACTGCAATAAGTGGAGTAGGAATAAAATGTAACTTTTTAAAACAAATGTTTTATTTGGTTCTGATAGAGTAACGTGAGTCTTTGGTAGAGATATGTTGTAAATAATGATCTGCTGAAAGCATCTGGGTCATGCAGGTGCCTTCATAGTTATTCCTGAATAGAGCTTTTGATAGTGAAGGAAACTACCCAGCTCCTGTCACACTGTTCCTCTGTTCATTTTGATACGCTCAGGCTTTTAGGGGTTTTGTGGAGCTGCTATCAGTAGGCAGTATCAGCAAGCAAATGTGGCATGCATTCACACACCTTGAACTCCCCCACATCGTGGCAAGCACAATCTTCATGTAAACCTATTCATTAACCTTTTAACCTTTTATTGGGATTTAATGTGATAAACCATCAAAAGTAGTGCATACAACTGAGGCCAAAATTGTTCACAATACTCCAAATATTTAGGTTTTGAATGATTTGTTTTTAATGCTGATCATGTTGATTTTATAAGAAAAAAGACAGCCATATTTGACAAAGAATTGCACTTTTCTAATGATCGCTAAGGAGCTATTTACATATTTCAATACATGATTTTTCTTTGGTGAGGAGCTCCAAGTCTTTCAAGGGTTGGAAGGGTTGGAACGCCTCCATCTCCCTAATCCCTCACTTCCTGCACCGATGTTTACTTTTCACTACATCAAGTCAGAACTCCGACTTGACCGCTCCGAAATAGTTTCAGTCATAATAGAGATGTTGATGAAATTCAAAGAGAAATGAATAATTTTTTTACCACTTACTTTGTATTGCAGCTGCGTTTCATCACATTTTAAAATATATTGATATTTTTTGATGCTTTCATGGAAACAACACTGGCAGAAAATGGTAATATAAGGTGTAAAGTTTTGTGAAATATTCCACCTCTGCTGTCCTCTGAATGGCCCATGGAGGGGCGATACCGCCCCTGTTGAGAAATGATAATCTAGATGTCCACAGTGATCTGAGAAGATTTTGGAAATTTTCTCATAAATTTTGTATCTTTTTTTTTTAAATGCATTTTTCAAATCAGTATTCAGTTACTTTGTAGAAATTATGCTCCACTTTTTTTTTGATAGCATTTTAATCTTGGGATGTGAAAAAAAGTTTATATTAATCTGTTAATTTTCATTAACAAATTAATGAAAATATGTTAGGAATTTTACAATAAATTTCATTTTATATGAATGTTTGAATTTTTGTGGGTATTGGGAAAAAAGATTTTTAATTGTCTCTTTAAAACCAGTCGTTTAGATGGTAACATTGGAAGTCATGCAGGTGAGAAAGATTTATTGCGTGTAGAAGTTTGAGTCAAAAAGCTCTTTTAACCATTCACAGATGATAAGCAATAAACCAGTTAATTGTTTATTAATCAAAATGAACTCAATAATTTTCATTTGGATCATTTGTAAATTTTCTCTCTTTTTCTATCAAAAATTGGGCGAAAAAACTCTTCATTCTGGTTCCTTGGTCTCAACCAAACTGTGTACAATTTTGTGACTTAATTAATTTGATCAGTTATTTGTTGTTTTGTTCATTTATTTTGAAAAAGTCTTTCATTATTTAGACGGTGAACTTTCATGATTATGCCATTACCATTATCTTACTGGAAAATGGTTACAAAGCAACATAATGTATCGCAATAACTCCCATGACAATTTATCATCCAGCAGAAGGCATAAATATTCATACTGTTTCGGCCTGGGAACTTGTTCTATAATCCAGATCTGCTCAAATATAATCCAATATAAATAAAAAGCACACTTCAGATTTCTATTTGTAAAGTATTTTTCCCTGCGCGTCATAATCATGTGCTACATTGTGTCTGTCTATCGCATCAAATCTGTGAGAAACGCACAGGTTTGTGCTGTGACGTGGCAAAATATAATAAAAACAAGAAGTTCTGAATATTTTTGCTCGGCCCTGCAGGCGATCTTTTATGAGTGCTGATAGATGGCATCTAAACTGCTTCGAGACGGTTTCATACCTTTTACCAGCCTGATGCTGTAAATTAGTTTCGCTCGTCTCATGATTCACTCCCACATCATTTGCATATTAGACTTTTATAAACGAGAGCCCAGAGGTATCATCGAGCTCCTTCAGGTTATCCATTCACACACATCGCTCACTCAGGGCAACGCGACGCCAAACGCCAGGGTGGTTTTTGTAGCCGCACTCGTGTCATCATCGTCGAGGCGTGCTGCTGATGGCTGTCGTCTGACCACATGATGTCAGTGTGCACCCTCGGTAGAGCGGGTTAATGCAGCAGCGCCACATGGCTTCATCACATCCCCACAGCTGCTTGCTGCCCTGATCTAATCCCATCCTGCAACTGTTGCTGCTGCAGAGTGCTGCGATACCGATGCTCACAGATCTGGTCGAATTGTTCTCCAATCACGTTTTGGTGAAAACAGTTACCTCTGTTCATTGTTCTGTGATTTCTCCCTTTGATTTTGTTGTTGTTGTTTGTTTTTTTTTGTTTTTTT